ACCTAGTAGGAAATTAGATAGTTAATTGCATTAGGCATACAGTAGTGTTCCCATAGAGTACACAACATAATATGATCCGTATATTATTCTCAAATAGTATAAAAAAATAAAATCGTTGTAATATTATTATTACCCGTTCATACCACGTATGCCTCATAAGACTGAAACAGTAATAGTCGTACAAAATGTACTTATTTCAGTAATTATAACTAATAAATTCATAATTTTGATCGGATTACTTTTTTTTTTTTTTTTTCTAATAATAATTTGAGTGTTTGATTTTGGTTATTTAAAATTTAATTTTCGTATAATTTATATATATTTCCCTATTATAACAGCCTGAACCACAGGGAGAATTAAAATACCCAATATAAGGCAAAGGCACAGGAAGTTATTAGCGGACATTCCGAAAAGAAATTGATGGGAAAACCTCTGCTAACGTGATTATTCAGTTGGGATAAAAAACAACAATTTAGTTTGTAAAAAACATAATAGTAAACTACTTATAAACGAAAACTTTAGTTTCGTTTTATTTACACGTATACAGTTTTTTTATTCACGTTGAATAATCCCAAGTTTTTATACGTTAAAACGCAGGCATTAGGCACTTATACTATAATATTTGAATAATTATTGTAATTTTTGTGGCGAAAGCAATTTCGACGTATTATTTTAATTCATCGGATTACACGGACACAATATACATGCTTAAGAATTAAGATGTAAATATATCTATTTGCATTCTATGAATTTTGTAATTATACACATTAAATGCGCGCAAGTTGAATATTGATTAATGCTTAAGTAATAATGAGGTTGGAAAATGTCACTCGTAAATAAACCTTACCGACAACAACTACTTACGGAATTGTCGCCAAACCATAATAACATTATAACTGCTGAATTTTATAATGCGAATTTATCGTTTTAAACTTGGCATTAAATTATTATTATATTTACATACGTGTATTATTGTCCAGTGATGACAGGATAAAACAGCGAACGCGAAAATTGCTGTAATTCACGTAACTTTCATGAACCAAATCGTACTTCTACGGCCATCGGGTCGGAAACTTTAAGATTGTTCGAAAATCTCAATCCACTATAGTTATAGTATAATATCTATAATTATATTATTTATTCGAGCATATTAAATATTATAATTTACACCGAAGACAACGCGTTTACACGGTAATTTATAATAGGTACACAGTTTCGCCCGAGCACAATTAATTACATAATTAAAACGTATTAATAAACTAATTAACATCAGGTGAACATCGGTTTGCATTAAATTTTCGATGGAAAAAACATACGAACGTACCTATACCCGAGATACTGAATATATCATGATGGTATTTAAATCATAGTTTTGATTTGCCAAAATATTTATACCCATGTTGATACGATTATGAATATTTAAAAATATCTGTATGTGAACAGAATTTTGAATTTGTAAAAATATTTGCTGGATACCAGTGCCACAACGCGACGGTGTTGATACCGTATATTCGCTGTTGTATCGCAAAGATTTAACTGAAAACTGACAATTATTGTATGCGAAGAAGGCTAGCTACGTGTAAGCTGTTGCCACTTTCTTGACCACACTTACCTGTCACTTATGCCATTATTTTTTATGTTGATTTGAAAGGAGTTATTCGAATAAATAAATAAATCAAAATCAAAATCGAAGAAAAAATCATGATACTGAAAATCCAAAAATGATTATTTAATTTTAATATTTGATGATTTATTTAAAATTAGCCGTTCCACACAATTTGCCCGTGCCAGTATTGAACATAAAGAGAAAAACGTAAAAAAAAAACCCCTACTTTCTTGTAAATCTCCGTTTCCATCCGCTTCTCTATTACTGCAGTCGGCCTTTATTGCCCGTGAATGTTTAAAAATGTATTTTCTTGTCCCGCTCTGCTTTGCCAGTACGTGTTATCAAACGGTCCAGTGGTTTCTGAGATTTGCTGTTACCATGATCACTCAATTGCACATTATGTACATATAGAATCGCTTATATCTTAACTATTTTATTATCCATTACTAATGACAACGTACACGGAAACAATAAAATACTCGTGATTCAAAACGAAATGTATGTGTAAAAGTGCGAAACGCCCTGTAGCAACCCCTTCCCGAATCTCAAGGAATACGTGTGCGAAATTTGGTTTTTGAGTCTATGAATCACGAACAAACGAACGAACATTAGATTTTACGTAGAGGAGGTACAATTAATAATAAACCTAGTTTCGGAATTAGGTTATTTGAAATTTTCAATATAAAAACGTTCATATTCTTCACTGTTGCACACATTAATACCTATGTCTACTCGTAGCGCAATACATTATTAGATAATGATGTTAATGTTTTTTCATACACGTACCTATACCATTTACCTATTTAACCTACCCGTTATTTCAATTTTTTTTTTTTTTTTTGACGTTATGATTAAAGTTCAATGCCAATTGGATTTAGATAATAAAAAAAAAAAAAAATTAACAAATAAACACAGGTTAAAAGACGTGTGATGGTCGAGTTCACAAAAGTAATCTGAAAAGAGCACCAAAAGTGAATTCGAATTATTTATGGAAGTATAGAACAGTCGGAGCTGAGGAAAATCAAAATCCTTATTGTTTGATGTAGTTTTATTTAAAATGCAATTTCGTAGCAATACATATTTGGGTACACGTAATAAAAATATACTATACTTTTGAACGTTCTGTTAGAGCGCTAAGAGGACGCCGTACCCGCATGTGCTGTCTCGGTCCAACTAACGGCAAACTAATAGCAAAATCATCCTTACGCAGACTGCGTAGAACTCGCTTGATTTCGGTTTTGGATTAAGATCACCTGTTGTACAATTAAAAGAGGATAATATTCCGGAGTGCGTTTTTCAGATTATTCTTATTATTATTCCGGGTATAACGTTCGATGTATCGTTTAGAAATAAAAACCAATACGCCGTTTTTAAAGGACTATAACTTTTCAAAAAATAAATTTTAAAAGAGAAACGTATCGTCTGCCCTCCGGATAGATTTCGGAAGGTAGATTTGGCTATATCGCCCGCTAGATGGACTGAGACAGCAATTGTGGGTACAGCGTTCTCTTAAAACAAATGTTAATTAATCATTGTTGACGATCTATGACGATTCTGAGCGAATTTTCGGTTTAACGTGCATTGAAATATCGTGACTTTTAAAGATAGCTGTATTTCGAAACGTTGGTATTCGGGCAAAACAATTGTTTCCACGTGAAACCGAATTTCCCATCTAAATACAACAGTAGCACATATCCATCAGCAGTATTACAGCATTTTGTTTTAAAGTGCTATTTTTTATGTAGACAGCCCGAAAAATCGAGAATTACAAAATGTACGTTCAAGATTTATTATTCAGACAAGCAAGCGAGCTAAATTGTGTGGGTTTAAATCGAGATTTTTGATTTTTTTTTTTTTTTTTTTAAATCGACGTTTAGGTAATAATAACAATAATTTGTGAAATCACAATGTCTAGGTATGCTTGCCGGTTGACAAGCGAGTATAGGCCGTAATTGAGAATATCGGATTTTTATTCAAACCCGACACTCGACCCGATATTTTCCGAATAAAAAATGTCTTTATTGTCTCTGGAAAATTGAAAAAAAAAATCGGGTTTTCAACCGATATAATGACAACTCGTATACGGTTTTACATCTGTTTTAAATACCGCGTCGATTGGACATCGACAGCAATTATCGCGGAATACCGGTCGCCGGGGAAAAGTCGTATCGGATCACCGCAATAATAGCGTCCACTAATAAGTAACGATGTTATATTTTTAATAGAAATACGGAAAGAAGAAAAGAAGCCGAGACCGCTGCGGAAACTGCAGAATACCCGTCACCGTATACGCGCGGATCCGCGGCACGTATGGTTTTTCTGAAAAATTTCCACGGAGTGTTTCCGGAGCGGGTTCTTTTCACGATTTTTATTTCGTTAACGCCGTTTCCGGACGTCGGCGAACGGAGTGCCTATGAGGCACACACACTCGCAACGCCGGTATATAGAAGACCGGTTTTAACATGGCGTTTCCCCGCGGTGTGCGCGTGTGCGCGCGCCAGTGTATTTATCGTATATCCGGCTCGTATCCGTAGTCATCGGGTCGTCGTCGCCGTGTACAGTACAGTAACGGCGGTAATGGAAGTAGTAGTAATAGCAGCAGCAGCAGCAGCAGTAGTAGTGACAGTAGTAGTAGTAGTAGTAGTAGTAGTAGTATTAGTAGTAGTAGTAGTATTAGTATTAGTATTGACAGTAGTAGTAGTAGTAGTAGTAGCGGTAGTAGTACGAGTACCCCCGGTGTAGTGTGAGTAAGTATAGTTGTAATCGTATGGCGTACAGTCGCAGTCGTAGTCGTCCTCGTCCTCGTCCTCGTCACTCGTCGACGTATACACACGCATATATATTTCGATTATTATTGCGGTAGTATTTTTATTTTTTTTATTTTTTTCCAGTAGCGTTGGTAAGAGAAGAAACGGTCTACATAATAAACGGTCAACCGGACCGTTCCATTAAGCAGCGCCGTGTACGTGCGCCCGCGTTTTACGAGTCTCGTCCGCGTAAACCAGTGTGTGTGTGCGTGTGCGTGTGCGCGCGCGCGCGCGCGTGTGTGTGTGTCTGAGCGAGCGAGCGAGCGGGCGTACGACGACGTCTCCGATGAATGGATCGTATTATTTTATAAATACGAGGAGTTCAGTACGCGTACGGACACCGGGCACGCGCACGACGTCCGCGCGGACGCACTGCCGTGACCGCGCCGATTTCGCGTCGTCGCAACGCGTTGCGGGCCGTACGGGTTTCGGGGCGGATTCCGCGCGGCGCGTTACACACGCCGGGCCCGCCGTCAACCGCGCCGCGCCGAAGACCAACAGCGCTTAGACAAACACCGTCGGCGTCTCCGCGCGCGGAGAGAACCGCCGGAGGAGCGCCCAGAACGCGTCTGCATGTGCTCGTCACACGAGTGCGTTACGGACGGGCGAAGGTTTCATCAATCGCGTTTATAGAAAACATATGCCTGATCGTGTCGGTCGGTGGGACTTTCGTTCGTTTGGATCGCAACTCGCAACTCGCCGCGGGATTTCGCACGCATGCCTGGGTGATTTTCCGCCTCTTTCACGCCTCTGCGTTTCGGCGCCCCGAGTGCTGGTGACGCGCGTGAGAACGCGGCGACGACTTTCGGGAGCCCCGTGAAGACCCGCGCGCGCGCGGTAAGTACGGGGACGTCGGTGGCGGACACAACGTGCGCGTGTAAAAACGTGCGAAAATTTGTTTAATAACAGCGGGCGCTGTACCGGAATCATAATGTAATTGTTTTTTGTTTTTTTTTTTTTTTTTTATGTTAAGACTATATTATCGGAACGAATATGTATCGGTTTTGCGTGTTCTTTTTTTTTCTTGCTGTTTTCTATCCGTTGTGTAGGGTTTAAAGTTAAAACTTGATATTTCCACCCAGTACCGACGTCAGAATTTTCTGGACGCGGTAAATTGTCCAAAAGAAACTGATGATTTTTCAGCTGTTTATAGTTTTTCAGTTTTGTTTTAGCAGACGGAACTGGCGAAAACGCTCGAAAATTTAACGCGGGGTTCACCATGTAGTTGTACGGTTAGCATTAAAACAACCGAGTTCAATGTAGTCCTTTTAATCAAGTTTAAGTTCAAATTTTCACGAAAATAATAAAATTCACGGCATTTCCGAAACGCTTTTAACCGAACTCCGCTCAGAAATCAGAAACGTTTTACGTCAGCGACGATTTATCGTCGCGTTCAAATATAAACTGAACACATCTACGTATCCGACGTTTTGTTATTATTTTTTTTTTTTTCATTAGTTTCGTGCGCGAATGGAACAAATCTAAATATATTATACAAATATTAATAGTATTCCTATATCGATAAATGTGTAAGGTCTCACGGAAGAAGTCAATTATTATCAATACAAACCAATTAAATTTTAAAAATACACACACACGCTTGTTGCACACAAACGTATGCACTTATGTAATTTATGCCGACAATTCGAACAATCGCATTCGATAAAATTATATTCAAATAAAAACAAAATGGTTGAAAACAATTCACTGAAGCCTTTCTCGCCCGGTGCCGAAGAAACGCACGGCCAACGTCGGAAATCGCCGTATTAAAATTAAGTATCTATTTGAACTTACTCTTGTTTTCGGACATTTTCTCGTATATGCGGACGTCGGTTACGATCAAATCGAGTAAGTACCTATAAGTACTGTAAAAAATAATAATATTAATAATAGTCCAATAACGATCGTATAATTGAAATCGCTATTTTTTTTTTTATTATTTTTGTATAATTTGATTACCTATTATTGTTATTATATAATAAGTAATACATAACACAGATATAGGTTAGTTAGATAAATTATTTTATCATTGTGTAACATAATAATTGATATTTTCAAGACGTGCATTACTCGCACGAAAACACGAACTTTGGATCGGTTGATCGGGTCCACTGTCTTCAGACAGATAACATGTATACCTACGGCTGTACTCATAATGACCTAATTTTGTACGCGTACACAAGACCGAATGTGTAAATTTATAAACTCCTCGTCGTAATATTATTATTAATATTATTGTTGATAATACTCGAACCAGTCGCCGTAAATATGTAAGTACAATAGGTTAGAGGTAGCGATTAAAACCGTGAATATACGGTACGTGAACGCTAAGGTGGGCCGAAAACGAAAAACATCGATATAGTCGAATTCTTTCAGCAAAAAGTCGCATCTTTGCCCCTTTGTTGTGGGGAAAAAAAACGAAAAAATCGTATTTTTAATACCTAGGTTGCTCATGAGAGCTTTGAAAATTGGAAAAAAAAAATTATAAATTTTGACCATTTTCATTTATATATATTATTATTATTAATATAAGCTTTTTTGGTTCTAATAACTTTTAAACGTTTTATATTCGTGTCTAAATAATGTAAAACAAAGTTAAACATTTATTTTGAGATCTTTAGGTCACGCATTGTGATTAAAGTTTTGTTTTTTTTTTTTTTTTTTTTTGTTTTTTTTTTTTTGCAAAAAATTGTTTTTTAATATATTTTTGTTTTTTCAGATTCAGATTTCAGGATTGTAATAATTTATGAACAGCTCTTCACTTGCTATGCAACATTTATTTGTTACGTAACAACCCAGAACTCACCACGGGGAGGAGACTGTCCTTCAAGTTTCACCCTACCCTTCCCTTCTATCCTGACATCAAGGGTAAAGTTTGTTTTAAAAATTCCCCCCCCCCTCCACTGATCACATAGTCAGTGTAAAAAACAATGAAATATGTGTATGTGTATTCACGTATACTTAAATACACGTGAATTTACTACGTGTGTTTACGTATTTTAGTGTTATTCTCGTAAAAATACGTGAAATACGCGAATACCTGAATGTTCGTGTAAACTTGACTGATTACACATGAACACGGTTTTTATAGATTCAGATGTTAATTTCACGTTTACACGCGAAATCGGGAGCCCTAGTACCTGTAACGTGGGTTTTATGTGGGAATAATATTACAGACAATTATTATTATTCGGTAGGTATCTATTTTGTGGTTAAAATTGTAAGATCAAACAGAAATGATTGACAATTCAAAAGGGAGTTCATTGTAAGTTGTATTGAGTGGTCAAGAAGAAAAAGTTAAGTTTTATGTAGTTTTTTTTTTATAAGAAATTTAACATCAAATTTTGACGAAAATCGTAAATATTACGGCCGTTAAAAACACGTATAACCGAACTATAACCGCTCAGAATCGTTTTTCATGACTAATCGTTGCATGCAGATAAACATTAAATTCTCCTCTATACCCTATCTTCCCTGCTTCTACTCACCCGTCGTGCGAAGTATGTCCGCCTATTTATTTTATACCAAGCAGATACCATTTTCTTAAATTTTTGGTACGTCGCCCGTTACGGAAAGACTCATTCGACGGCAAATGCCCGAAACCTGATAGCTTACGCATCGTAACGCTTGGATATTCATAGGCTTTTTTCGATAAAATCGTTCGGCGGCGGTTCATCGTTTTGGTATACCTATGCTTACTCGTATAGCCGGTAAATATCATTTGTTATAATTCGATTTTCTCGGGCGACCGACAAGTTCACCGCGGTGCCAGTTATACGCGAGAAAAATGATAACTCCAAAAATTATTTAAAAAGAAAAAAAACCCACTAACTTCTCGCAGACTGCACGCATTGTGATAACGGTACTACTAAAATATAATCACTTTTTTTTTTTTTGTTATCGAGCGGCTTATCTCGTAATGTCAATGTCCGAACGACGGTGGCGCAGTCTCTCCAACCCGTCGTGTACGCCGCGGTCCATCCTCTCCCACCGACGACCGATCGTCCAACCTCGTTGTGTCATCATCGCGGCGGCGCGACCGTTAGAAAGTCCGCAAAAGCCGTGGACGACGTCTCGCGTTTTCCGTTTAGATTTTTTTTTTAATTTTTGTTGTTCCCAGACCCGACGTCGACGTCGTTTCGGTAATTATTTCCTTCTCGATATTATCGCGAGATCCTCGCTCGATACTATCTGTCGACTCAGACACACGAACGTCGTCGTGTAGCCATGGCACCGTCATTGCGTCTCGTCAGCTACCTGGTGCCCAGCCAACCGGTTGAACTGTACGAGTGCGTGGCCCACTATCTGGAAGAAGAGCTGAGTATCAGGGTCACGTTGCATTACGAGTCCAGAGATCCCATACAGCTGTTTAAAAGCCGTCCGGATCCGTTCACCTCCGACGAAGCCGATATAGGTACGTGTGCTATCGAGAGCCCGGCAATACAACGTTAACCGCAAAAATTTGAATTCGATAAAAAAAAAATAGTGAAAATAGGGAGCAGGTACTTTTACTATAATTTTTCGAACAATATTAATCGATTTCGAAAACGGGAGGCGTTTCGAGACGATTATACTCTCGATTTCCGCCCTCCGGACACCGCATTCCGCTGCAGTACGATTAATATTTTTTATTTTCGCATTTTCGCACAAACATAATATCGTCGAAACATTCGGAGTTTTTATCATATTTTAGTTCCCTTTGGAAAATATCAAAAAAAATCGAAAACAATATAATTATCTGTATATGAATCGAATCAATTTTACAAAGACGTCGATATAATTATTCACGTATCGTATCGTACACGTTCTTTCTCCCCCCCCTCTCACTCTCTCACTCTTTAGAACTAAGTGATAAGAGTGATGAACATTAATATACGTCATAATATTAATATTGTGTAACAGTTTATCATCACGTGTTCCGTATACCTGCGTGCGCCTACGGAGTGTGCGAATAAAAAACAACTCTCGACGTTACTATTGTAATATTGATAACGACATTGAACTTTATAACTCGCGATCTTTGTTACAATATTATACCAATGATTTATAAGCGAGTTGCGGGTGAAAAAAAAACTTTCAAACAAGTTTAATTCGATTTCGATACAATACAATTAAGCGCAGGTCGTGAAATATGTTACCGTAATAATAATTTTATTTAGGCATTTATAAAACAATTTTTAACGTGGTGATTTTTGATCGCATTATAACATTCATAAAAGCTTTTGTGTTTTGCATTCGCCTATAGACAATAAACATAATATGGTAATAGTGACGAAATTTTTACACGTGCCCGAAATAATAATGTTATATAAAACCGTTATCAATCGTTTAGGTATGTGTGCCTAACGCACAGTATATTATACAGAGCGATTGTTTTGTTTGTGCAAAGATTTTGAGAACATATGTTTCTCCCCCTCCTTCTCCACCCGAGATATTATAATATAGAATCGTTTAGATCTTATATTCAATTATGCTTTCAAAATGTTACCCTTGTTCCGTATATAATACCGTAGACGGGCCATATCAACCGAGTATATAGGTACTTATCGATTTTCGAACAACAACCAAGCCGTACATTTTTCAATTTCCATTCGAAAAGACAATATTTCTCTAAAAATTACACGTGTCTTAAAGTGTCGGATATACGGCCGCCGTTTATCAATTGTCACATAGCAGTTTAAAAACTTAAACCGGACTAGAATGTACGTGGCAAGGGTAATGGATTTCATATCCGTGTTAGAGAGACCGTCACAGTAAAAGTGAAACGTCGAAATTCACAGCGCCGCTTGAAGCAGCACATGACGGGACAAAATTTACATTTTACGGCGTCAAAACGTGTTTACAACAAACGAAAAGCCATTAACAAGTTGTTTCAGGGTAAAGACACCGATTATAAGATCTATAGAAAATCATATTTCGACGGGAACCTCATAAGGGTTTCGGAATATTCTAAATGTACAGCTTCTTATAAAAGGCACATAAACATTTACCTTTTTCTTTTTACATTTTTTTTTTTTTTTTAATAACTGTAACTTTTTTAATATTTCAAAAAACACATTTGAGATATCCTCCGAAAATAATGTCTTTTATAAATTTGTTAATCGGTGTTATATCTCTTAAGACACTCTTTTCAAGCCTCTCTGAGAGGTTTTATTTATGTTTTACGTAAACATGTTTTAGCGATCGATTTTTTTTATTTTACCGTGATGACCTCTCAAGATAATAATAGATTAATAGCCTTAATATGTTCTACGCCTACGCCCAACGTGAGGTAACTCATAAATCGATAAAAAATTATATTTTAATTCCAAAAATACAAAAAAATAACCGGAATCATTAACCTTTTAGGGGTTGATGTTTGTAAAAAAAAAAAAAAAAAAAGTAGTCAATGTTTTTTTATAGGGTTTGTGTTATATCCATACCGTCAAATTTCGTCAAAATCTACTCAGCCGTAGGGCCGTGAAAACGCAACAGACATAGTTACTTTCACATTCACAGATTGGTAAGGGGATATAGGACCGTTCAACAAATCCTATAATGTACATTATAATGACCGATAACGAAAATTCGACTTAAAAATCTTCGACAACTTCGTATAGAAAATATACGTGATCAATGGTCCGTGGCAACAACAATTTAAACGATCACTCTGTGTAACATATTGAATCGGCAAGTTTCACTGGGTCAATTTTGACACAACCCATAGTTGGTTTCGATAAATTCGTTTGTCGTACAGTATTATAAATTCTTAAACCGTTCACAATTATTTACAATACGATAATAATGTACGGACTTCAAATAATATTAGTTCCGTGTTTAGCTAAGCGATTAAATAGGTAATCCTCGCATTAGCATACACAACTATAATAATGATTAAATATTCCTATGATATGCAAAATTGTAAAATGTATAATAGTACATAATAGTCAATAGATGTATACGTTTGTGTATGTTTATAAAGTGCTGCAAGTCATCTGTTTATCGCAAACAAAACGTTTGCACTATCAATCATGGCGAGTAAATACCGCCGTGATGATGGTTGTGAAAATATCAAATATTCAATAAGCTTAAAATATTATGATCTCATCGAATGACAATAATAGAGTGATTATTATTATTTTTTTAATTTTTAGCCATAATCCGGAGTATATTTTGGGTAAATTTAGTTTCAGGTTGTAATCGTTTGTATATACGGCTTAATGGGGTAAAATATTTTGAAATTATTGTAAACACGATCGTGTATTGAATGATTATTAATAGGGCTATGAATTTAATGCACTAAAAACTCTTAAAATATGCACTTTAAATTATTTTTAAATTAATTTGTATACTTATATTGGTATTAGTGTATTATATGCATACAAATTTATTTATTTAATAACGTAAAAAAATGCAAAATAAAAGTTTTATAAATGGATTTGTTGTTAGATAATATAAATTATGTATTGACAAAGTTACATTTCTCAATCGCCAAAAAAAAATCCACTTTCCTACAAATTCACAGCTCTAATTATTACTATGTATTTATATTATGACAGAAAATAATCAAAATCAATGAATAATCGTGAATATCCGTATAGTTAATAATTGCCTGATTATGATAAAAAAAAAAAAATCAATCATCCGTATTCGTTCAAAATATTTACAAATTTTTCAATATTGTTCGCTCAACAAGCCCATAATTCAACCCGTATTCTCTACGCCGCGCTTATTAAAATACGTCGCTAATTTCGAAATCGTTATCGTGTTTAATCGTATAGCGTGTGAAACAGACCAATTAAAAATAACACGACTTATGTAGCCGTTTTTTCCGCCGTTTATTAACCAATCTGGGTAGTACGCGCAAAATTATAAAATCGATAAGGACAAAAAAAAAAAAAAAACCAAAAACAAACGCTTATCGAATAGGTACGTATATTTACAGGCCGTCTGAGTTCGGGTCGAATCGAAACGTAACCTAGTTAGTTTTAGTACTTTTACCAAACACAATCTATTTATTGTCGGTCCGAACTTAATGGAGTTTCAAGGGAAAATTAGTGTCCTCGGTGTACTTAGTCGATGAGGCGCTACCGCGTGGGTTTAGATAAAGCAGAAGTAAAATGGACGCACTTAACCCAGCTACCTGTTGACCCGAATCCGACAACGCTCCAATTAAGAAAGTCAATAGTCAGTGTCCCAAATAATGTAAACCCAGTCGATGAAAAACTCGGGTCGGGTCAACAAATATACGCGTACAGGTCCGAGTTTCGTCGGAAATGTTTATACAGGTACTGCAGAAGATAATATAATTCCGCCAGTATAAATTCCGTCAGCACAGATATGTACCAGGTGATTCATTTAAGTGGGTACACTCATTATCGCGAAAAGTGTTAACTATTTCCGGAATTTGTTTTCTAGAACATTTAAGAAGCAAGCTGCTCCACAATTTTATATTTGCGTTATTTTTTATCACCCTTATTTTCGGGGGTAAAACAGCTACTTACTTTTGATTTTTAAACGACAACCTATATTAAAAAGCCCACAAATAGATCGAGTATCAGTTCAAATAAATTGTATTGTTGAAATTTATTTTAACCAACACTCAATCTATTTACGTACGTTTTAATCGGTTAACATATTTACGCATAGTTAAGTAAAATGTAAATGTATTTTAAATAAAGTCAATACGGAAATGGGACGACCGCAGGTTAAAATGCGTAGGTGTCGGAATTGATAGGTTGGTTTTTAGAGCGGCGGAATCTATGTAGGTTCCTATACCATATACCTACGTAGGTACTGTAATGTTATGCCGGTTTCTACTTTACACTGTTTTGCGAGCGTTATTTTTGTATAGGTTTTTTGAACCCGATGCAATACCTGATGATGAAAAAATTGTTATCCAAGAAGTTCAAACTGTTGCCGATTACTCCGGTGTTCGTGCACCCCAAGAACGCGGCACATAAACCTGGATACTACGTCGATATCATCATGCACACGGACGTCCAGTAATTATCTAATGAACAATTAATAGAATACTTGCCGGGTTGAATATCCTCTAGAGTACTTATAATAATTATACATACAGAGAGATTCACTAGACTGGAAACGTTCGTTATCTTGAAAAGTGTTAATTCTTTTTCGGAATTTGCTTTATAGAACATTTCAGAAACCAACAGCTCTACAATTTTCGCATTCGTGTTATATTTCGTCACCTTTGTTTTAGAGGGTAAAACTATATGCTAGGTATTTACTTTTGATTTCGGGTCGAGGGAAAGTAGTGGAGAATCGTTTGTGTGCCGGCACGGCGTTTTAATAATGTTCCACTATTCTCCCCCCGCCAGAATTTAAAAGTGAAATATGTTGTCAATGGGTTGATGGAAATCAAAAATTTCAATAAATGATAAACGTATATGATAATGTATTATTTTAGAATTTTTCGTTTCTTAAGTTTTCGGAAAAAAAAAAAAAAATTCCGAAAAAAGTTAACACCTTCCGAGATAATGAGTGAATCACTCTGTGCAAATGTTGCCAGGTACCTAGTATACAATAATTATTTTTTCACCCCATGTAAAAAAACAAATTTTTTAACAAAACATTGAATGCTATTATGAACCATAAAACATAATATAGATTGATATTAAACGCGACTCTTTACGAAATAACACCCTGTGTATTAGCGTGTAGGGACGAATAAACTGTTTTTATTTTTCAATCTCTCAGGAAAACCGTGAAGACATTTTTGGATTTGAGAGGCTGCAATTGGGGATACTCCAACGACAATTCGCTCAGCAGCAGCCTGACGATACGGAAGTTGCTCAGGACACACGGCGAAAACCCGTCGTTTTTCGGCAACACGATAAGTAATTATATTTTCATCAATTTTTTTTTGTATCAAATGAAACATCGAGTATCGTAAACATGAGTATCGTAAACATTGATATTCAACTTACAAAACAACATGATTTTTTTTTTTTTTTTAAGAGAAACCGTATTATTTATTATTACTACCGTCAGACGCAATGCGCACAGACACGATTTTCAAAATCAAACTAAACTACGAATTTTGATTTATTTATTCGATTCACGGTCATTGTATCGACCGCAACCTTACTAGGAGTATAATATGCATTTTCCCCTCCCCCCGCAAACGTCTTAAGCGTACGTTAATATTAATCATATTGTTTTGTCGGAACTCGTTCTCAATGAAAACAAATACTAATCTGCAAGGTATATAAAAAAATAATAAATATCTACTGTAAAAGCGATATGTTTTTTTTTTAATTTCAGAGTTATTTATTTATTTTTATCGCTTTTTGATAGAAAGTTTACGCAAGTACTTTAATCAAAATAAAAAAATAGAAAGTACTACAATGACAAACTACAATTTATGATAAACATTATTATACTTTCATTAAATTATTGTTCGTATCGATTATCTTATTTCGTTGTAGAGTGTTTCGTGTGTTTGATAATTATTATTATTAATAGTCACATTATGCTATAGCTTATTGGCCATGTAAAATTACCAATAAAAATAATTTTACGTGTCCAATGTGCTGAAACATTTAAATCATTATCATCAGACACTACACACTAAACGAAAGCAACTTTGTCGGAGAAAGGACGTTTTGTTTTGGTTTTAGCGATATTTTCAAAGGAAAACAAATTTGTCGGGTTACGGACTGCAGTCCTTTAAAGAAAATGTCTAGTTCGGTCCACGGCGAATTTCAGCACGTCGATTCGGTGACGGATTTGTTTCGTCTTCTGGGGGTGAGCGGGTGAGGGAGATTATCCCCCCCCCGGTATAACGTTTCAAAAACCGCCGGAATAGAACGCGTTAAAAAAAAAAAAATAACAACAATAAATCAATACACATTTAATAATTAATTATCAATATCGTAACAACCGATTTCGACATAATAAAACACCGGGCGATCGAACGGCGTCGTAATTAACGATTGATGACACCGAGAGAGCGATTAATGACGGCTATATAACATTGTAATTACCATCGACGTGGCCCGCGGACGGGTCGGTCGAACCGCGAAAAACGCGGGCCGGACGGTTGGTTTTTTTTTTTTTTTATTATTTGTTTTTTTCGTTGCCTTATCACGAACCGTCGATTATCCCGACAGAATTACGGGTACACACCGGATCGGGCCGTGTCATAATATAGATACACGGCGCGTTAAATATGCATTGTAAAACTGTAGCTGCTTTTTTTTAATTTTGTTTATTGCGTATCAAGTATCCAGTTTTACTCAAAGGCTATACGAGACGCTTAAACGCTTCGCTAACAGAAAAAAAAAAATGCACCAACGAGAGAAAATCAAGGATTCTCGGATATTTTCCTCCGTTTCCGTTATTTCTCGCCACTGCTCTAGATCTCGCGGTCCATCCGCCGGTTTTTCGGGCTTTATTCTTTTCGGCTGCCGTTTGATTGCTGATCCTATCGCACGGCGTGTCCCAGCCACCGGGAATTACTTTCCACGGGGCTTGTTACGGAGCACGCCCTCGTAGTTTTCCTTAAATCCAGGTGTTCCTTCCGCGTTTACCGGTTTAACCATCGAACGCTATAAACCATTATCGAATTAGGAGGTACGCATATGGTTGTTTTTAGCTCGCATATTTATGTTATTCATTACCGCTTTATAGACGCGGTTGACTAGGTACTCGATGTTCCGTTTATAATCCGCGATGTTACCCAGAATTATTTAATAAAACATGTTCGGGTTTTCACAAATGCGTGTTTCCGCGAAAATTGTCATTGTCGTATAACTGTTGCAGAGACTGGAAATCATTTGTTGTCTGTGAAGATGGTGCAAGACAAACAGGTGACCGCCGCGGCCGTGGATTCGACGGCTTTTTACAATTACAAAAACGTTTTGTACAAAGACTCGGACGACATATGCGTGTTGGACAGTATTGGCCCGCTACCGCCGTATGCGATCGTCTGCAACAAAAAACTCGGCGGTAAAATCACGGATCCGTTACAATATTATACAGTCAGTGCGAAGTATCGCGAAAAGTATCCACCAAATTATTGTTTAACGCTTTACACTGAAATGCGTATAGGTACCTGTACATAATATTTTGAATTCAGTCGAATTCAGTCGAAAAACTTCGGTCGTGGATTCTTTTGTGCGTATTTCGCAAAAATACAATTGAAATTAAATACAATTCAAAGCATCGCCAATGACTTCATTCACCGGTCCTAAGTGGATAAATCACTTAGGAAATGCACTGTCAAATTTCACTCTATTATCGGGTATAGTATAATATTGTTATATTCGATAACGATATTCGGTCATCATGGAATAGCGGGTATAATTATACCCGAGTCCCGAGCCCCGACTGGAAGACGGAGCTTACGGAGGGGATAAAAATGAAATATTCGCAGATCGGTGTATCCCGCGGCATAATTTGACGACCGGGGTCAATATTTTTCGAACGTTTTAATTTGTTGACTTTTTACCGAAACGCACTCGTAATCGTAGGCGGGAGACCCTCGTTTGAACTACCGGAGTCATTGGCGATGCACCGGAAACTATCGCGTTTTACCGTCGCCTGTAGCGATTGCGGACCCGGACTGAGTCGTCGGTGTATACGGTTTTTGTTTTCAGGCGAACTCAAGTCGAGAATCGTCGACGCCCTGCTCAACAGCACGACGAACCGGGCGTGGGGCAAGAAATTCGAGAAATTCGGTCTGATCAAGTACGCGGAAAACTCGGACGAAGCCTACACCGACCTGGAGTTCAGCGAGACACTGGACAGCGACGGACTGTCCTCGGTGTACTATTGAACCGGCGCCGGTTTTTTCTTGCCCGGAGTCTCCCGTTCGAGATTAAAACCCGCAATATATTATAACAATACGTTGTTCTTAAGATTCGTTTTTTTTTTTTTTTTGATCTATCGGTTTTTTTCTCGTTCTTTTGATGTGTACTCACAAGTATCCAATTATCCCTCTAATAATATTATTACCGACGTACGAAATTTATTTGTGTATGTGTAGCATACGTACCCGGACACATAAATAATAAACTGCTCAACACGGTACCCTAAATCTATACATGCGTATTTATTTTTTTATTGCGAAATCGTCGATAAAATCTCAAAACGTCAAAATATTACGTATTATTATCGGTCTCGCCGCTGCGACAGTACGCGGAGACGTTTCGAAACCGACCGCCGAGCCGTGATTTTTAAATTCACCAAAGTAGGTGTAGATAATTAATTAGCGGTGATTTTCCGGGCGGTATATTCACAATTCGGTGAATTAGCGTATACACTACGGCGAAAATCGCACAAATACGCTTGTAGTGAGATCGTATACGATAAAATTAGAAAAAGAAAAAAAAAAAATCGCTTCTACCCTGTCTCCGGCACGAGATTTACAAATTCAGACATTTGTATTTTGCGAAAAAAAATATATTTACTATACGATATTTATCAGTTATTAAAATGTATTGAGTTTGGACCGCGTGACAAATAATTAAGATTGGTTATTACCGCGCCGTATAGTTAATCGTCGAGACCATGATTATTGAGGTGTTTTATTTTGATAACATTTCGGTGTTGCCATCACTGGCACCGAGTATAACTTCAGAGTATTACTATAGCTACTGAGTAAGTCAGCTACTGTAAATATGGTGAATGTTCTTGTCAACGTTTTGTTTTTATTGTTATTATAACCGTTAATGGGTACGTGCTACGCGAACAAGTTTCAAAAGGAAAATTCGAAATGTTTACTATTTTTTTTCTTTTTTTTTAAATCAATTACTGTTTGAATACATTTGATAAATATGTATATTTTTATGTACGGATTGAGGACAAGAGAATTTAAATCAAATTATATTAGTGTTTTTGTTTGTCGTCGATGTTTGTGTTTATCGTTTTTCGAGCTCCGATTTGACAGCGAAAAAAATTATCTAAAAGATTTATTTGGTTTAATCTGACCCGTGGAATAGTTTTCGACATTTAGGCGCATAAATAAAATCGTACAAAACTGAACAACGAACAATTGTTTTCGCAAAGCTCGCGAACACGCGAACGTATTCATTGCACGGTAGGATAATTTCAAAATAGTTTTTCGCGGGCGAAGCGATCGTCGAATCCGATCGTAGTTTTGTGCTTGTAAAATCGCAATATCCGTCGTTTAAACGCACGGTAGAACGTACGCCCTACAGTTTTTTTTTTTTTAATTTTTTTTTTTTTCTGTCCCCCGAAAACAGCACTGCCAATCTAATAAGGCGTATTTAATCCGTCCGGTAATTTTGCGAGGTAATTCGCAAAAGACATTCTGGTGTTCGCAATAATTATAACGCGCGGCCGTCACAATTGTCGGACGCGGTGTAAATGATCGACAACACGGCCGGTCCGGAAATAATTACGTACCCCGTCCGAACAGTGAGACCGGTTCGACGCGCGCATTTATGCGAGCGGGTACCACGCGTCCGTAGTCCATACAAACCATGTGTTTGGCCGTTGAAAATGCAACGATTAAGTATCGGATAGATAAAAAAAAAAAAAAAAAAA